TATTTATTAACATTACAGGAATATAGGAAAAAAAGTTAAAAATTCGAAGAATTTACAGCTGATCAAATGGGGTTAGGTTAGGTTAGAGATCGCAAGTGGACTGCTATATGTAGTCCTTTGTGAAGCCATAGAAAAGAAGAACTACTGTGTTCGCACTAATAAATTAGCAAAACACGTAGTAATTTAGAAAATAGGGGGTCGCGAACAAATTTACCTGACCGTACCCACCATTTTAACCCTCGCAGCAAACTGGAAACCAAACAAAAATGTTACTACTCTAGAATATTGTCTCAAAGTTTCGTTGCATGGAAAATTTGAACAATTTCKTTCACAAAATGGCGACTGCTTGAAAAAGAAAACATTTTTTAATAGTTTTTTAACTGTTTGAAAATTTTTAACTATAGTAATTCCCTCCCTTGATAGTTCCAGACATAGACAAGTCTATARAGAAGTGAATGTAGAGAATTATTTAAATGAACTATGCTAAAAAAACCGTTGAAATCATGCCACCCTAGAATTAGAATTAAGTTGCCCGGCTAGCTCAGTCGGTAGAGCATGAGACTCTTAATCTCAGGGTCGTGGGTTCGAGCCCCACGTTGGGCGCAAWTTMATTTTTTGCAACTACCAGTGTAAATACGGCTGGTAGAATTATTTACACTTGAAGAAATTATTTGTTAACTGTATAAATTGAAGAATTCAATTCATATACAGAGTCTAAGAATAAGTACGACGTGATGTTATAATGAAATATTATATTCAAATTTTGTTAAAATGAATTTTGGTTTTTTTTATTATTCGGATAAGTCTTATGCCATTGATGATTTGAACAGAATATCTGCCAAATGGCTACCACGGCTCCGWTKGCATATCTCCAACCCTTTACGCCAACTGTCATTGATTCTGTGCAGCATTTCTTTTGGAATTTCGGCTATAGTTCGTTGAATATTGTCTTCGAGCTACTCCAGTGTTGCTGGTTGATTGACGTAAACCTTTGTTTTAAGAAACAGCAAAAAAGTAATCTAGAGCCGTTAAATCGCATGATTTCCATTTCTCGAAATTAAAGAGTTGCCAAACTTTGTACGCTATATGTTTATATTTAAAATTTGACGTGAAACATGAGATAACGCACCGTCTTGTTGGAAATGGTGATGCTCCTCGTCGATCATATTGCAGGGGAAAAARTTGGTCATCATCATGTCATAAAGTTCGCTATTGAAAGTAAAGGATTTTATTGGMTGGTTTCAAGCGAATAAGCGTTGATGTCGCCATAGCACAATCTGTAACAAACGGTCAATCGCGTTTCCTGAACCACACGAGGCTTTAACTCCGATAGTGACAATTTTGTGAGTTGACAAAGCTATTAAGGCAGAAATGGGCCTCATCTGGGAAGATGATTTTCGAKGAACGTGCCTTTGCCTAATAATCTCTGACAATTTTCAAGCGTTGTTCATATATTGGCTGTATCTGACAGTGAAAGCTGAAAATTTTTTTTTACATATATATATATATGTGATATAGTATGAGTTTTGTTTGAAGATACCTTGTTTTGCATTTTAGGTATATTTTTTTAAGTATCTGTATATTATTATTTCTTACGTTTTTTTTTTTGTTTTTTGTTTTACTTCTACAATTTTTTATCCCAATATTTGATATACAATTTTATTGAAAATATTGACTTTTATTGTGAATACTTTTCATCTAAATTCCGTTATTCTGCGATCACGCTTCAATTGCCCGGCTAGCTCAGTCGGTAGAACATAGGACTCTTGATCTCAGGGTCGTGGGTTCGAGCCCCAYGTTGGGCGCAATCTCTTTATTTATGTTTCGATAAATCAAGTGCAGCTGTGACATTTTCCTTGAATAATTTTGTGTTAGATTGCCGAGTTGGCAGTCCCACGCCTGTATGCTTGAATATAATTCCCATTACGTTTCGGTTATGTGGATCTACCGTGGCAAACAGTCCTTGCCTGAATATAATACCCGTTACCTTCCGGTGAAGTAGACCTAAGCTTTCAAGCTCTTTCTCTACTTCGCGCTCATCCTTCGTTACGTATTTTCAGGCACTCTTATATAACATTTTCGCTTTCAAAATAATCCCAACGCGTTAAATTTTTTTAGTAAGCACGTTTTGAGCGCTTAAATCCCGCGCGACTTCAACTAAACCATGTAAGTTCCGCTGCTCACTACCCACCGCTGCCTAAACACCCCAGCAGTAGTCTTTATGTCTGTAGGTAGTTAGTGTCTGAATGTGGTGTAGTTTACAGCAGCGAGACATAACTCATTCTCAGCAGCTCACAGCATGCGACATGAGCAGCGCAATAATTTTGGTTTATTTTTTTTTTTTTAGCTAAATAATATTATTTCAATATATACATCATATTTTTTTTATTGTTTTTGCCAACGATTATTTCCACTATACTGTTTTCTTACAAAGTTTACTACAACATTATTCAACTCTGGCTTACACTCTCCCTCCCTCTTCGGCCCATAAACGACGAGTCTTCGCTATATTCATCGTTTTTTCCTATGATTCCTGCCAGCTGAGACACCGACTGATGCTCACCTTGCCTGTTGTTGCTCTGCCGTATGTTGCGAGCCGAAAAGAGATGCCGAAAACAAAAACGTTTTACCAATTGTTGGTAGTAGCATGTTGCTGGGCGCAGAGCTCACTGGTTTTCAGTATTTTCTTAACCTTCGTGCGGGCAACAGCAATTGAGCGACGACGATAACGGCATTAAAATACGGCTAATAAAAGCAACCACAAACAGGCGAAGCCAATCAAAAGGCAATCAAAAAGGCGAACGCTTGAAGTCGCAGCGCACAGTAGCCGCAAACGAACGAGCGCGCAAGCAACCAACTACCCACGGCAATACAAAACGTTCGCTAACAACATACTAGTATAAATATATGGAGCAATAAAGCTAACAAAAGTGTGGAGTGTAAAAGAAAACAACAACAAAAATTAAATTTAAATAAATATAATAGCTGCTAGTTGAGAGTACGCAATTTCTCGTGCGTTTTTACGTTATACAAAGATACTTATTAACTRCAACAACAACAACAAAAAACTTTTGTTCCGTGCCTTTGAACTTTTCATGCGCTTTTTATCGTGCCTTAAGTGCTGAAACTAAGCAAAAGCCACATAAAAAAATCGCGTAAAAAGTGTGCGGTCGTAAAATCCTGTGAAAAATGTTTCCGATACATCGGCGCCATCAAGAGCTGCTGCTGGACGCGGTGCCGCTCAAACGCACCGCYATCGATTTGAAGGAATTCAATAACGACATTATAGCCGATAACGGCTTTCATGCGTACAACGGCGAAACTGTGCTGGAACAGCTGTCGCTGGCCGACAAAATCACGGCGGACTGCAGAACTTTAAGGTTAAACACGCCCACATACTACCGCGCTAATACTTTGTGTATTTTGTGTGGATAATTAACAAAATWTATACGAAATTTTATATAAATATTTATGGCATAAATTTTATGCGGCGTTAAGTTGAAAATTAAACGCGCATGCTTACAGGCAATTTACTATGTAGCTTTATGGCGCATGGGCTAGAAATATTCTTAATATGCGCTCGCTCTATAAAAAGTAGTCGATTTTTTTCTGTCTTTGAGTTTTCGGTGCCAGGCGCCAGCCGCCAGCCGCGTTAAACAATTTTGAGGTGATCAACTAAAAAATCTGGTTTGGTTTCGCGTTGTGTTTATGTATTAAATACATAGCGGTATATATATTCGTGTATGTGTTGGCGTTCGAAATGCTGTCGCAACACTTTTGGCGGCGTCGGCCAGGAGTTATGCCAATAAATGGCAAGAAATTTATAGCAAAATATTGTTTTTGCACACGAATTGCTGGCATTCCTTTTTGATTGCTCATTAAATGAATTTCTCGGTACTAATATTTAAAACTCGCAAAAAAATTACAAACAATTCGTGTTGAGGAAAACCTAAAGAAGACAGAAATTTGTTAAGAAGTTCAAAAACCAAGAAAAACAGTCTTCAGTTACATACAAAAACTCCATGAGCCACCCAGWTTTGAAAATTTAACTCTTTGAAGTTGAGAAATCCACCAATTTTCCTATCCAATACCTTCGTGAATAGGGTCATAAACAAATTACTTACGGAAATTTRTCAATATATGAAGTTAAGTTAGGTCAAAAGGATTGTATGTCACGCCATACATAGACCTATAGGTTATTTGTAGTGACAGATGGAGATGAACGTCAACGCTGTTTGTGAAGTTTAATAGAGACTTCATATCTAATTCAGATACTTCATTCAGTCCCTTGAACTGCGAAGCTCCTTAATACCYAAGCCAAGTTATAGATAAGCCGTTTCTCTACTACACTTACTACCTGTGTCCTCGTTAATAAGTTGTGACCTGTTACTAGGCCAACAACCGTCCTGCAGTCATTCCGAGATCGTGTGAGTAGACAGCTTGGGAGCTTCCTTTTGCTCCTTAGCACATGATCTTGGCGATCTTGCATGCCCCTAAGTCGTTCCATCTCACACTGTTACGTCTGTCAGCGCTTTCCGAAATTTCGTTGTGTACCGTTTTTATTGATATGTATTTTTCTTAAACTGTTTCGGTACTGAAGTGRATGTCACCTGTCGCTATCTCATCAGCTATTTTGTTTCCCGGAATGCCMTTGTGGCCTGGAACACAATATATGTATATAAAACCACCATGAATAAAACTATGTAAATTTTTTCATATACTATAAACGACTTTTTTAGGGACTGTCATTTTGTCAAAAATCAAAATTTTAACTGGTCCTTCGATCATTCTTTCTTTGATTATTCCAGAAAGAAGAAAATGTTGAATACAGTTTTTTGAAAACTAATCGATTTAATTTTTTTTTATAATATATATACAYACATATGTATGTAAAAAACTTTATATTTCTATATTTATTTTCATATTTTTTATGTACTTTAGTATTATATATTCAAAATAACTAATTTCGTTTGTGTTTTTTTTTTTTATAATATTTACAGGCGCACCAGAAGTTTGAATGCTCCATCGCCATTCCAACAATTTGGACCATGTGGACGAATAATGAAAAATCAAGCAATGGTTATGTAAGTAAAGAATTACGAAGTAATTTTTATAATAATTATTGTAATAAAGGCTGATCCATTTCGAGGTTCCTTACTTTTTTAACGGAAAAACTCAGAAACTTCAAATGTAGCATTCGAATTTATCATTTSAAATAACATTGTTTGGAATTTATTTTTTGAATATAATCTGTTCCAAATGTTGGCAGCGGCTACRTCTCARATGGTCCAYCCRTTGAWGACTTGTTCCAGCATTTTGACTGAATGACACGSKTAATGTTTTGCTCCAAGGCCTTAATMGAAGCGTTATTGTCCGCATAGACTTTAGACKTTACATATCCCTAAAGGAAAAAGTCTAACGTTGTGATATCAGACGATCTTGGTGGCCAATCGACTGGCCCAAAACGTGAAATTATCTGTTCACCGAAGTGTTCTTTCAATAAATCCATTTATTGATGCGATGTGTGGGAAGTGRCGCCGTCTTGTTGAAGCCAAATGTCGCCGAGATCACGAGCTTCAATTTCAGATATCAAATAGTCGGCTATCATGGCGCGACGTTATGTTCTCACCRGCATCATTTTTAAAGAAATATGGATCGAGGATTCCACCGGCCCCCAATCAACAAACACCAAATTTCTTTTTTCTGCATAAAATGGCATCTTTTGAATCTCTTCATATTGCTTTTCGTCCCAAATGCGACAATTTTTCTAGTTTATGTATTCATTGAGCCAGAAATGGACCTCATCGCTGAACAAAGTTTTTCTCGAAAAAGTCGGATTTTCTTGGGTTTTYTCAAGACYCAGTAAAGCGAAYCAATGTCGCTYGGGAMGATCGAGCGGCTTCAGTTTTTGCGCAAGCTGTATTTTGTACGCTTTCAGTTTAATATCTCGCATGCCAAGTTGTTCCATACGTATGTAGGGCCYMGYTGCTGCAAACGGCGCCGAATCGACTCTCCACGGTCTTCGTAATAATAAATATATAAAAAGATGCATTTCTATATACAAAACCTTGAAAAGAAAAAAGTTTTATTTATWTTTTTATGGCTAAAAACTAATCAACTCCAATCATTCGCTTCCCGAATATTGCAGGCAAATTCAGGATCCCGCCAGTCAACGCCTGACCTGGTACAAGCCACCGCTCACCGTGCTCGTCATAAAGAAAGTGCGTGACTCAACGGTGCTGGCACCCTTCGTACAGCTGGTCGAATGGCTGGTGCAGGAGAAGCACATGGTCGTTTGGGTCGAGTCGGCGGTGCTCGATGACCCGCTACTAATAGAGGATAAGAAATTCAAGAATATCAAAGAGAAATTAGTGACATTCAAGTGAGTYCACCAATCATATCTTTCGYTATTAATGAAATTATTGTTATTGAAAACGYATTTACTACTTTTGCGCTACACAGAGATGGCCGTGATGATCTAACCGATCGCATTGATTTCATAGTCTGTCTCGGCGGCGACGGCACACTACTGTACGCTTCGTTGCTGTTCCAGCAATCAGTGCCACCGGTGATGGCATTCCATTTGGGTTCGCTTGGTTTCCTCACACCATTCGAATTTGAGAATTTCCAGGAGCAAGTGACCAACGTGCTGGAGGGTCATGCTGCGCTCACGCTGCGCAGTCGCTTGCGTTGTGTCATCTACAGAAAGAACGATCGCCGCAAGGAATCGGAAAGTGATTCAACGAATCAAWTTACAAAGAATGCATACAATTACCAAACGGATGGCAGCGATGGCACAAATAAGAGCGGCAGCCGTGGTTCAACGAATATATTGGTGTGTAGCAAGTGCGAAATTATAAAATTTGCTGTATATTAATGCCGGCTACTTTACAGGTGCTCAACGAAGTCGTCATCGATCGTGGGCCCTCACCGTACCTGAGCAATATCGATCTCTTTTTGGATGGCAAATAYATCACGTCGGTGCAGGGTGACGGTTTGATTGTGTCCACGCCCACWGGCAGTACCGCCTATGCCGTGGCGGCTGGCGCCTCGATGATACATCCTTCGGTGCCGGCGATAATGGTGACACCCATYTGCCCGCATTCACTGAGCTTTCGGCCGATTGTGGTGCCCGCCGGCGTGGAATTGAAGGTATGCACWTATTTAAACATATACATATATTTAAATAACCTTTACTAATACCTCCACAATTAATACAGATCAGCATCTCGCCGGACAGCCGCAACACTTCGTGGGTCTCATTCGACGGCCGCAACCGGCAAGAGCTGCTGCACGGCGATTGCCTGCGCGTCACCACCTCCATCTATCCCGTACCCAGCATATGCGCACAAGATCAAATTTCCGACTGGTTCGACTCGCTGGCGGAGTGCCTGCACTGGAATGTGCGCAAGAAGCAGAAATGCCTCGACGAGCTGAGCGACCTGACCGCCTCCGGTTCGGAAGACACGCTCGACGATTTGGATCGTGTCAACGACACGTTACTAGATAGTGGCTTGCAGTGATGATTGTGGATGGYTTTCAACTTTTCCGACGATGAATTAAGTATGGGGGAGTGTAAGCGAAAATAATGAAATTTGGCTCTGCGCAACTGTGGCACAGCTGTGCCACGCCGCTTTGGCGCATAGGCATTATATTATGGAAGGCAATGTTGTGTAGAGTTTGGGCGTAAGCTTTTGTTGGAAAGCGCGCACATTTTRTTTGATTTGTGCTTTAGCTTTAGCGACATTTTTTATTAGTGTATGAAAGAGTCGAGTCGGTGGGTAATGTTACTATGGCAGTTGTAAAAAATTATGAACAAATCTGTTGCAGAAATTAGTATAGCATAATTTTGTTAAATGATTTATGTAATACAAAAAATGAAATAAATGACAAGTTAAATGTGATGAGAAATTGGAGCAAATAAAATGAAATGAAAGTGTTTATAAATAATTATTCTCAAATATGTTTATTGTAATAACAGTAAATTGTAATGTTGTAAGTAATTGGCAACGAAAGCTTAAGACATTCATATACACACGCGTATATGTAGTGGTAAAACCTTTTGTGCTTCATGCAACAATTGAGGTTATGTGCACTTATTGACTTCTATTGCCTTCAGTTACAAACAGGCTTACTCTGWGTAGCTRTCAAAACAATTTCTAAACAAAAACACACCTAGTTACATATTTTAAGCACTTGCAATGCCAACCGAAAAGCTCAAATTGTATTGTGTTATTATTTATTTGTAATCAAATTTTGTAGCAATTATTAGCAGTTCTAAACGTAAATACATACATGTGTAATACTTAGTTATAGTTTTGCCCTTTTGTGTCACGTGCACACGCCTAAAAATATATTTAGCGCTATAGTGTAATTTAGCTTTAAGCAGCATGTATGTACATATATATGTATGTAAAAAATAGGCAATCAGTTTCACATTTAAAGAAATGAGATTTTTATGCGTCAATGCAATGCATTTGTTATAAGCAATGTTTTAAAATTATAAAATTAGGTGCGTATATTAATCATGCTTTGCATTATAAAGGGTTTTGAAATTTGTATATTTGCG